AGCGAGAGGTGGGCCTGCAGCAGGGGTGGGCCTGCAGCAGGGGGTGGGCCCGGTGTCTTTTGTGGCGAACTCTCTGGAGTAGAAATAGAGAACGGTTCTGGCGACGCGGGTACCGATGCCGAGACCTTTGACTGAAGTGGTGTAGTGCTAGGTGAAGAGATCAGAAAGTCTGAAGACGGCGGAGTGCTGGGGACCTCCCCCATGGAAAGCCGTCGCCTTGCGCCGGAGGGCGACGGAGACAGCGAGCTTGTCATGGTACAGATTGCGTGTTCCGGCAACACACTCTTACTTGTTGGAGAGCATTCGCAAGCGTCTGCATCCTCGCTGGCAATCTTTGTGAGGCTAGACCGGCGTTTGTCCACCAAGTTCATGTTGCTGTACAGAGATACAGCTGGCGATACTTTCTCGGCCATGGGAAGTGAAGTCTTACTCGCTGGGGCAACAGGACTGAGGGAAACAACAGTCTCGTGGTCAGGCGATTCCTTGATCATCTCCTCGTCATCAGTACGACTTTCGGTCCCCTTTTGGTACAGTTTGGGTCGTATCTTTGCGCCTATCTTGTGGTGGAGCTGCGCAAAGCCTGAGTCTCCCTGCAGCGTCGTAGCAGCCTTGGATTTGATGCTCTTGATTGCCTCTCCAGCCTTGTCTACCACGCCTGCCTTGATGCTCTGCATCGCTCCCCCCGCTGTCTTGACGATCTTGCTCTGCCCAGCTCTCTGGACCGCCTCTCCGGCTGTTCTGACGACCCTGCTCTGCCCAGCTCTTTGCACCGCCTCTCCTGCCTTCCTGACGATCTTGCTCTTTCCAGCCTTGTCGACCATTTGGGTATAGAGTGTTCCAAGGAATGGAAACCTGTAAAAGATTTCATTGTTTCTGTATGCTGTTTGGCTAGGGCAACGTGCACTAGTACTGTTTCAAAGGATTTATTTACATGAAGTCACGAAACTTGTGCTTTATATAGAGCACATTAAAAACGTAATCTGTAGTATTCTTGCCTTGGCCATTCTTGAAAGATGGTGTCAGAAGTGGGATTTCTCACAGAACGAACGGACACTTTAGTTAGTGAGGACAAATACGAACGAACTACGCGGCTGTCTACAACCTTATGGTGTGGTAGATCAGTCAAACGTTGTCATGTAGAACAACTCACAGCCATCTTCGATCGTAAAGGACATGCCAAGAACTATGCTCACCTCTCTTGGCAGCAGCGGATCCTAGCAGCACAGCAGACACAGATGACAACAAGAAAGGGCACCAGTAGTACCAGCAGTATAACTTCCAGTGCTAGATTGTCTGCCTCGGCCGCTGTCATAATCGGTTTGCCTTCTGTAGAAAAATATAATTTCGTTGTAGTCACATGTGCATTGTGCTAACATTTTGAATCAATAATGTAATTCCCTGTGTTATAACCACTCTAGTCACCAAGCATCGAAGTCGGAATATGTTTTCCTTTGGCAAAGAAGCATAGAGGAAGAAACAAACCATCTAAAAGCTTGTCAAGCCAAACGTTTTTTTTTTACTTCTGTCTTGTTAAGTTTAACCGTTATTTTCAGTCTCTATCACCTGAAGTTGGAAGAGGTGGCTGTACGAGTATTCCGTATGCATGTGTGACGACTGCCCTTCCTCCATGTACCACCAGGCAGGAGTAGCTACCAGTCATGCTGGAATGCAGGTCCCGCAAGTGTAGCGTGGTCACGTATTTGTTGTTAGGTTCCTACAACGTGCAGAAACAATTTTCACTAAGAGTTTCGTAAAGATCAAAAACAGCATGCTAGTTTGAAGGTTCCAAACGATGCAAAAATAGTACGTTTTTTTAGGTTCGTAGAGATGCAAAGCAGATTTTTCTTATATAGGTTGCTAAAGATGCAAAAACTACAAAGCAGTAAGTTTTAGCTAACATAATCAGGAATACATATTGTACTGTGATAATAACGTTTGAAATGTATACTAATTCTTGACATTTTCAAGAAAATAGTCAACACATATAACATATTTTCCTATATCTTAAAGGACAAATCCAATACTTTCAGTTTTGGGGCCTTTCCACCCAAAATCCTATTTGTAAATGGTGATTTATTGGTTTCTGCCAACCCCGCACATATTTGCGGTTATATCTGACCCGCTCGATGTTCCCCGGCTAGAGCCCGATTGTCCGCTAGGCGGCGCAGCGACTGTAGATTTGACGTCACCGTTTCCATTCTGCTACTAGCGAAAACAATCATGGCGGGCGCATCTGGACTGCATCGGCTGTGAAACCCTTCCGTTTTGAGCCACAGACAGACAGTAGTGGTGACTCTGACCCCGATCCAGGCGATGAGAACGTTTGGGAAGGAGGTGACGTGGAGACAGAGCGTTGGAGGTTGGACGATCGATGTAAATAAATTTGTCAAAGGGTTGAGTGAATTGCAACGTAAACAAACCGCGGTACCGACCTGTTAGAGACCGGCTCCTGCACGCCCTGCTGGATCAGATCCCAACGAAAAATCAGCAAAGTTCGGAGGTTTGCCGGGTGGAGAATCACATCGAAGTCAGGGTGGTTTCTAATGCATGGGTGGTCTGGACCGACGTTCTTTTTGAACAGTGTCTGGCAGGTCGTGGCAACAAACACTCCCGTACAGAGGGCAATTCCAGGCAGTTTCCACAGCGGCACCAGTCCCGGTTCCCCAACCTCCAACGCTCTATCTCCACGTCACCTCCATCCCAAACGTTCTCATCGCCTGGATCGGGGTCAGAGTCACCACTACTGTCTGTCTGTGGCTCAAAACGGAAGGGTTTCACAGCCGATGCAGTCCAGATGCGCCCGCCATGATTGTTTTCGCTAGTAGCAGAATGGAAACGGTGACGTCAAATCTACAGTCGCTGCGCCGCCTAGCGGACAATCGGGCTCTAGCCGGGGAACATCGAGCGGGTCAGATATAACCGCAAATATGTGCGGGGTTGGCAGAAACCAATAAATCACCATTTACAAATAGGATTTTGGGTGGAAAGGCCCCAAAACTGAAAGTATTGGATTTGTCCTTTAAGGTTCAGCTCAACATGCTAGCAACAGAAAATACCATAACGCCATTGGCATTGTGTATATGTATGCTGAATTGAAGGCTACTACAAGGAGAAACTTGTAAATCGAAGCTGGGTATGTTTGGTACAACTTACTCACCCCTTTAGTTATACTGACGAATTCGCCCTCATGTTGTCGTCGGTCTTCCTTCATCCATATAACATGTGCTTTTGAGAGGTTTTTCCCTCCAATTAAGCTGTAGTCACACCGTAGCTTGAGCGACGAGGCCTGAGTAGCCACTATCTCCTTGTAGTGGGCTGGAATATGCGGTGGAAGTGTTAGAAACTAGCCTGGTTACAAAACCTATTATAGCTCCCGAGTCCTACAGCCTCTCTTTTTGCGGAGAGTCTGTAGGACTCGGGAGCTATACTAGGTTTTTGGTAACCAGGCAAGTTAGAAATGCTATCGTGTTTTTTTACAAAAACGACTTGTAAATTATTGGACTCTGCATCGCTGTTAAGACTCACTGTATAGGCATCATAACATGCGAAAGACATACATTCTCTTTACTTTTCCAGGCATATTATTGAGTTTTCATAGATGTTACCTGCTTTCGTCGTAGTGGCCGAATTAAGCAGCTGCCCTCGTTTTTGAAGAGCCATGTCAGCCATTTTGAATTCCTGGCCGTAGACCTTAACGCTATAAATAGCACCCTTGAACCCCCTCTTCTCTGGAACATGCTGATACTTGGTCAGATCCTTCCATAACGCCTCTGTTACGCCCCCTATCATGAGCGAGGGGTCCGGTTGGTACTGCATCCCTTCGCAGGACAACTGGGTTGCCGGTCCGCTGTTGATCCTCATCTCCGCGTCCCCTGGTTTTGTGATCGTCAGTTGGAGATGCACCCAGCTCTTTAGCTGAAATTTACCACAGGTGCATCAATTTAGAGCAAAACTACACATGCAGCCAAAATAAAGTATACACACCTTAAGCTAAAGGTAAATGAATATGTCTTATAGATTTGTTAGACAACGTAAAAAAAATATACCCTTTTTCAAATACCGTCACCATATCAAAATGTACCAAAGCGAGCCGTTGGTGTCAGATCCACCTCAGAGGACACGCTATTTAATCATACATTCCTGTTTTGTTTTGTTTTGCCAGGGTGACCCTAACCTGGGTGCCATCTGATTTGTTACGACAACCCCGAAAAATTCGACACAGTATAAGAAATTTATTTACAGTGAGGTCCAGTCTGAACCTTTGTACATCAATGGTCATAGGCACTAGCTTGTAACTTGTAACTTACTTTCAGTTCTTCACTAGAAGTTTGTACATCCGCCCCGTCTAAGCCCAGCTTCAGCACGACACGGTTATTACTGAGGAGGAGTATGATGTAGGTGCTCCGCTCAGTCCCTTTGTTGAAAAGCAGCAAGCCTTCCCCCTCCGATGGCATCAGAACCATGGAGATGGTAAAGGAACCTTGCGCAGCCTTCGGGGTTGTGACTGGAATCTCTGCATACTCCTCACCGGAAAACAACAACGAAGCAGCGGCTAGATCTGCAAAGAATTTTTTTAAAAATTACCTAAGAGCTCCTAGATGCAATAGAGAAATTTTAGACGGTTGGGGTAGCCCTATCAAAGTATCTCAAGTTGTTTTGTTTTCATAAGTTTCTTCCACACCTGTTTTTTCGTCAGCTGAGTTGTGCCCCTCGACGGGAATTCTGTCCCCCTTCCAGGCGTACTCCTTCAGGCTGAACTGTTGGTAGTTCAGCCACAGGTCACAAACCTTCCCTTGCAAGCCTGACAAAGAAAAATAACCACAATCTTCTGGCATTCTGGTTATGGGGCAACATGTAATAATTTATTGGGTGCTTTCAGTATGGACATTGTGTATATTTTGATTACTTTGTATATGTCTTTGTATATACCTCATTTAGATGTCCATGTATTGTCTCTAAATTTTTTTATGTGACAAATGGTACTCAATTCAGGGGGAAGTAGTTATGCTCCCCTGCTGATGTACATTTGAAATAGTGCAATAAAGAAATTGAATTCTCAATTCATTAGTGTGTGTGCACAATTATTTTCACTTGTATGAAAGATAACAGAATGATAACATGTGACTCGTGAATGCAAAAAAAGACTCTAGATTCCTTATAAATTGAAAATGTTGTATTAACTAGAAATACCAGTTTTGAAGAAGGAATCCGTCGAGTATGCAAGAGCACCGCCAAGGAAAAGCTGTCCTCCAAAGCTGGCTCCTGGATGTTCAACACTGAACAATTTTTCTCGAATCTCTCCATCATTTACTCGCAGTGACGCCCTCTCTCCGGCTATGGTGGCAACGACGTCATTCCAAGCATCAATCTGACAGAAAAAAAAGTGGTGTGAAGTTGGCATGTTAGTAGCACGTCGGCAGAAACTCAGATTTTTCACGTTTTTTGCTGGATTTTTGGTCAACGTTGCATCAGAATTTAGTCAGTTGCAGATGATATCTTTTCCAACACAATATTTGGAAACTACAGTGTTAACCTCATATGCGCGAATATGACCTTATATGAGACATTCTACCGAAGTGCTATGCACAATACAATACGGGTGTCGCGCAGGCGCAGTAAGTTCTGCCGACGACGTCATTGTGATTGGATTGATTTTGGTCACGTGAACAATTCCTGCTCTCTAATTGGCCGAATCGCTAATTTTTATCGACAGCCATGGGTGCTTTATTTACCTTTGGTTCGTCACCGAGTAATTCCACTTCGTCTTCGCCAAAAACCACCTTAAAGACAATGAGCCCCTCCTTCAACCCAAGCTCTATCATCACATCGTCTTCTTCACGCCCGTTTTCTGACGAGGTCCACAGCAGGAGGCCGTCTCCGGTGTACGGAAAGAAACGGACGAAGGCCCGCCAGACGTGGGCCGGGTGAGTCGGTGCTGGGTACATCAGGTAGGAATCTTTGCTGAAGATTCGCGTGGTCCCGTCAGTTTCTGTACAGGAGGCAGGCGACATTTAAATAAGCGTTTGTCAATAAGCCATTTCACAGTGTCGAGTGCGCATGCGCTAGTCGTGATGCATTTATAATGCTTAGGTCAAAGTTTAAGCCCCAGACAGACAACTACACATGCGCGTCTGGAACTGTGAAATATTTTAAAGACGTGTTACGATAACGTACTATGAAAGTAAACGTACAGTTTGAAATATATAACGTACATACTCAACAGTCGTGGTTTGACGTGACACACACACACACACACGCACACACACACACAAACACACACACACACACACAAACATACACACACAAATGTAACGTTACACATTCTGAACAGCCATGGTTTGAATTTTACCTATGCAGGGCGGTATTGAGCAGTGTTCCACCTCTGTCCCCTGTCCCTCGCACTCTTTCCCGTCTCCAGACGGGGCCGGGTCGGTACAGGTCCGGTCCCGGGACCTCACTCCCTCCCCGCACGTGGCCGTACAACCCGACCAAGACGACCAGCCCGCCCAGTTACCGTTTTCTGGGAATGAAGAATGTGGTATGGAATAGTCCATGGAAACATTGCGCAACGACAATGCATTTGGATGTTATGATAAGCAACTCAATTAATTAATAGCGCAAACGGGAATCATTTTTGTGTGGTGCGAGAAATACGTTGCTTCATTTGAAATCCATCCTGTCGAAACAGAAAAAAAATTAAAATGTCTTTCAAGTATAAGGAAGTCAACAAACATGTAGACGCGTAGCTAAGGAAGATTCAGTTCAAAGTGATGGGATTGCATTTTTTAAAATGCTACAATTGTAATGGTATACAGTAACTTATAAAGGGCTTTCAAAATTTGCCATCTTCGTTCAGCTGACAATTTAGGGAAGAGTGAAGTCACCTGCACATTCGGCAACCTGACATTCCATGACTTCCACCCTTCTGCCGATGCAGTTCGGCTTCGCGTCGGCCTCCTGTGTGGCCCCAGGTTTGTTCATGCAGCCCCTCTTCCTCTGCCGGTACCCCATGTCGCAGGTGCGGTCACACGGTTGCCATGACTCCCACGACTGCCACTGCCACTTGTGGTCTACACCTGGTATCATGTGTACGAGGTTTCAGTAATCTACAAGCAATTCCTAGGGTGGCACAAGACGGTATCAAATCGGACAGGTAGTATCCAGTCGCCAGAGAGGGTCCAATACGCCTTGGGTGGCGACTGGACACTGCCTGGCCAATTTGATACTGTCTTTTGCCACCCTAGGAATTGCTTGGAGATTAAGTATCGTTCCATGTTACTCATTGTCACAAAGTCGTCTTTTAGTTCTGGGTACGGAAGTATTGCTTTGGGTACGTGACACTGGTTGTATCTGTGGGTTTGCGTGTATGCTTGCGAGTAGTTGGGCAGAAAGGCAGGAGGTCAAAAGGCTAGACACAGGAAATGGGGTGAACATGAAGGTCCTAGAAATAAATTGGTGATGAAGATGGTACATTGACAAACGATAGCTTTGATAACTCAACTGTCATCAACACAGTTCTTCTGTTTTACAAAACAGTCTGTGAATAAAAACCATTTTACTAACAGATGCCCAAACCTACCGCTGTTGGGGCACTCGCTCTTCTGGCACGCCTTCTCCTCCCGATCCGGACCTTCGCACATCTGTCCACCGTGCCGGGGCGCAGGGTTGGCACACACCCTGTTACGGGACGTCGTGCCCTCCCCACATGTCAGGGAACATTCCGTCCAGTCGGACCAATCACTAAAGCCACCATGAACTGAGAGAAATATGTCATAGTTTGTATGGTTAGAGAAAAAAATTAAGCAAACACTAACTGAAAATTTGGAAAAGGCCAACCCTTTTTAACTACAGAAACTGATTAATATATAAAACTTCCGGCTGACTTGTGAGTTGATTGTATCTTTGTACGTCGGTTTTACGGAGGTTGGGAGGGGGTTTTGCAAGAAGTTCTTGCCTAAAGCAGACCCAGCATGCCCTTGAGTGGGTGGTGTGTGGCGGAATTCAGGAAGAGGTGTTGTACTTAACTGAATTACATGATGCAGCCCCCCCCCAATTCATTACAGGCGTGGATTGCATTGTGGTAATCCTAGAATAAGAGTGAGTGGGTGAGTGAGTGAGTGAGTGAGTGAGTGAGTGAGTGGGTGAGTGAGTGAGTGAGTGTGTGTGTGCATGTGTGTGTGTGTGAGTGTGTGTGTGTGTGTGTGTGTGTGTGTGTGTGTGTGTGTGTGTGTGTGTGTGTGTGTGTGTGTGAGGGAGGGAATGCGTGAGTTAGAGTCTATGATAAGTGTTTTCACACTCAGACACAACGCTTCTTTGCTAACCTGGACATGGCTGTATGTTGCAGAGCTGGACATCACGAATGTCTCCTCTGCACCTCCGCTCTTTCCAGAGACAGTTCCGCTGTCTTCTCCTGATCCCCTTTTCACAGCTCCGCGTGCAAGACGTCCATTGTCCCCAGTCTGTCAGGTAAGCCAAGTCCCGACTGTACTCTCCGGCTATCTGTAGAAAACTTGGGAAAACCAACATCCCTTCCGACGTGGTTTTGGAGTCTTTGTCGGTCAGTTCTGCGATCACCTTTCCTTCTACTTCCGGAGCGGCGGTATCTCCGTGTGATGTGTGTTGGTAGTCGTAATCTCCGTATGCCTCACTGTGAACGTAGTCTTCATCTCTAGGCACAGAACTTGGTCCTTGAACGACGTTGTTCGCCATAGATTGCTGTCCATCAGCATAGTGCTCATCCATAGATTGCTGTCCATGAACATATTGTTCATCCATAGATTGTTGTCCATGAACATACTGCTCATCCATAGATTGTTGTCCATGAACATAGTTCCCATCCATAGATTGCTGTCCATGAACATAGTTCCCATCCATAGATTGCTGTCCATGAACAAAGTTCCCATCCATAGATTGCTGTCCATGAACATAGTTCCCATCCATAGATTGCTGTCCATCCACATAGTGCTCATCCATAGATTGCTGTCCATGAACATATTGTTCATCCATGGAGTGCTGTCCCTCAACTACATTGTCAGCCACAGATTGCTGTCCTTGAACGAAGTTCCCATCCATAGATTGCTGTCCCTCAACTTCATTGTTAGCCATAGATTGGTGACCTTCAGCCATAGATTGGTGACCTTCAGCCATAGATTGCTGTCCCTGAACTATGTTTTCATCCATATATTGCTGGTCATGATAATCATCTATATATTGTTCTTTATCCATGAGATCTTGCACCTCATTCGTCGCTCTTTTGTGCCGTGTATGGGCACCTAAAAACGCAAAGTTCAACATCGGTTAGCTTGATGAATGGTAAAAACAGAATGATACTTGTAAACCTCTCTGAAGTGTGTCGACGTCAACACTGGGTCACATTAATTAACCGCGACGGGGGCCGTTCTTGTTTACAAGACACCTTTGACCCGGTGTTGACGTCACAATTCATGAAAGCCACGTGACAAGTCTCACTGGGTCAGTCTACTGAGGAAGACCAGAGTGACTGGTCGAAAGCTCTAGGTGAGACCATTTCCCTTTTGTGTTGTAACCAAAGTTTCACCTTTAAGTAAACAGACTCACCTTCCTCTTCACACGGCACGTTCACAGCCCTCACCAGGAGTCGCGGCCCTGGGCAATCCTTCCCGTGAGCCTGTGGGGCTGGGTGGTTACACGTTCGGAGCCGTCCTTGCTTCCCCTCCCCGCAGTCACTCGTGGACACTGACCACTCGCTCCAGCCACTCCAGCCGCCATCAACTATACGATTATTATGTTTACAGAAGGAAAACATTTTGTTTTTACTCAGTTTCTTCCTCCTCTTCTGCTCCAAACACTAACCTTTGACCTGGCCAATGACATGATTTGTTGACGTCTGTCACCATGGTGACTGGTATTGGGTTACATAATGTTGTAATTTCATGGTCTGCTCTGCTCCTGTCACCATATACAAGTAGTACATGTATGTGAATGTGTTTGAGTAAGAATTAACAGAGCAGACCATGTCCGAAGGTAAACATTATGCATTTGCTTTGCAAATGTTACTTTTCTAGTTAAGAAAAATGCTTTAAGTGACTTGGGCTGTGGTGGTGGAGACTGATTTCTCTCCTTCATATTCATTTATGTGGTGACCAGCCCATCCAAATCTGTCCTGCTACAAAATGTAACCCAAGGCCACAGGGTGTCTGCCACAGCACCAGTTACCATGGTGACAGACGTCTGGTCAAGGTCATTGGCTTTAGTTGTAAGAAGAAGTAATAGGAAACTGCGAAGAAACCATAATGGGTACATGTGAAGCCATCGGTTAAACTGTATGAGTGCTCAGACCAATAAATTTGCATAATTTCGGATTTATGAGATTGTGATTACATAAATCTTTTATTACAACATTTAATGACAAAAAGGGCAGGATGACGGCACACTCAAGCTAAAGCTTATGTTCATGTCGCCATCTAACATTACAAAAGCACAAAAACAGATACAGACATGCAAAGCTTAATAATAACAAAATAGAATGAGTTACAATTAAGGATTAATAACTCGCCCCGAGGTGAATATGGTGTGATAAAGCCTTGTCAGTTGCTATAACCACCGAATAAAGCCATTGAGTGAGCGCAGCGAACGAGGTAAAGGTTATAGTCATGTAGTGACGTTACAGAATGATACCTCTCATTTGGTGACCTACCCTGACATGGCGGCAGACTACACAGTTCTTCAGCAGTCGCCACTACGTCGCCTTTCGCTTGGTCCTGCGGACAGCCCTCGACGGCCTTAGGACAGGTCATCTCACGCTGTCTGGTACCGATGCTGCAGTAAGGCTCTCCCTGACACTGGCCCCAGGGCGACCATGTATACATCCACTCCTTCGCGTCATCTGAACAGACGGAGCAAGAAACTTCATATTTTCGGCAAGCGTTTTGGGTTCATCTTAATTGTTTTGAGTTCATCTTTAATGTTAATTGGAACTGTGTGTGGATGTGGGGGGTGTATGGTGGATATTACACGTCTTCCTGAAATTCCTCACACATATAAGAAACATCTGACCGTTTCCAAAATCATATCCTGTTGCTTGAGTAACTGGCGTATCTTATTACCTGGATGTCTAACCTTCATCGACATGAGAAATAATACCTCTGTTTTTCATGGAGGTCCTTATAGTCTAAATGAAATGTTCCTTCAGAAGTCATGAAATGTACACTTCGTGAGAGATTTTCTGTCAGTTCAATTTAAGGTACAAAAAGTCTGACAAAATTTCACACCCAAAATGTTATGCCACGTCTGGTGTTCCTTACTGTGGTACCTTTACAACTTGTTTTTCGCATTTCTAAAGAGAAAAGTTGGGGGGAAAACAGTATACCCACCATTACAGATGACGTTCATATCCGGATTCTTGCGAAAATCTCCCTCTACAAATTCGTTCATGACCGTAATATTGGCTGGATGCTGTCCAATTGGCCCCTGTCCGATGAAGAAACACTTCATTTCACCAACTTTGAAGCCGAAGCACCACAGTCCCTTGTCCTCGTCGCCATGTAAGACAGAGAAAAGGTAGCATGGGCCTTTACAGATGGTGTTCGGTTTGCTGGCGAACACAGGCAGACCGTTGGATTCCCCGTCTATCATGCTGTACACCGTCATGGTGGGGAGGAGAGCCTCGTTTACTGGAGTCCCTTCCAGAAGTACAGCGGCGCAAACTAGGAAGAACAAATCAAACAAGAAATTAGAGATTTTAGACTTCCGATGTTGAGCCACATCATTGATCTGTAACTAACGTGAGAGGTCAGGTGTTTAGGGCTAGGACTGGGTTAGGGTTGATATTAGAGTTACATAATGTCTCAATGCATTGTGAAACAACACAGGCGACAAGTAGCAAAATATTGGACTGTAAATAGTGTATTTAAGGAATTGTGTTGTCTTTGCTCCATACTGTTAACTTGTAGAACAAAACTGTAATGTTTTGTACGTTTCTTTTCAATTGTAATTCATGTATGTATATATATGTTTCAATGTGCAGACCACAGGAAGAATAGCCTCTTATGAGGCTATTTGTGGATCTAAATAAAACTCAAACTCAATCTTACTTCCGGAAGAACACTCGTCGTTCCTTGTGCACTGTTTGAACTCTACGGGCTTGCCCGGGCACCGCCAGCCGCCGTTCTGTGGCGCCGGGTCGGTGCAGTTCCGCTGCCGGACGGTAGAGCCCTGCCCGCACTTCACGGAACAGGCGCTCCACGGTCCCCACTCAGACCACTGTCCGTCGACTAGGGAACAGAGAAACACGAACTGATGGTGTAAACTGGTCAGGGATTATCTAAGCCATATAAACAGATCTAGGCATTTTCTGAAAGAGGCCTGGCATTGCGTAATACAAAAAGATTCAAGCAATATTGGATGAGTTAGATGTTTCAGACGCAGATACAGAGATAGCACCCACTATCTGTCTTTTATTTGTGACTGAGAAACGGCCGGAAAAAAACTTAAAACCAAGCTTAAGTGCAGAATAACGTAAATGTAGATACAGTATATCATCAACTCCCGGTGACAGCGTATACTGTGGACATGTGGTAATTTGCAAATTGTGATGATTTGTATTAAGCGGTATGGTGATTTATTAAATAGAGAAATATACGTTGTGTAGTGATTTACATAATGTAGTGATTTATATAGTTTGGATATTTACATAACACAATGATTTACATCATGTGTTAATTTAAATAATGTGATGATTCACATCTATAATATGGTGATTTACATAGTTTAGCAATTTACTTAATGTTTTCTGAATGAAAAACGCACCTCTGCATGATCTGGAATACTTATAGCAGGACAGATCCGACCAGTAGGAATTCTGTTGAGTAAAAATTCAAACAAACAATTGTTTACCAATGCTTTCACAGTAAAATTTTATTTGGCTCTGTGGCATTCAAAACAACAGAACGTTCAATATCGGAAAGCTTTTACAGCAAATACACCTTCAGTACCATGGACAGATACATGCACAAAAGCCTGGATGGTCGTCTTTTAGCTTAAAGCTGCATTTTGTGACATTTCGGTGAAACACAAATGCAATAACTTTAACTGAAAAAATATTTGAAATTTACTTCCACTTTTCAACATATTTGCGTCATTATCTTAGATTTCTGACTTGTATTGTTGACACTCATTTTGTGACACCACCACGAAATAAGAGACTGAAAGACTAAGGCTCAAAAGGCTCGAATCTAGCCTACATATCCTTCAAAATTTCACGAATCATATCAGTTTGGTATGAGTATCTGTATCTGTATAGCCGGTATAACCGCCTTTCGGCGTAACATACCAGCTTCTGTATCTGTATAGCCGGTATAACCGCCTTTCGGCGTAACACACCAGCTTCGCAGGCACGCGGCGCGGCGGCAACTGGCTACATCACACCGATCGACTTGTTACACCTAACCCTTGAACTTCTAACTCTAGACATAGTTTAGAGTACTCACGATTTCGTGTTTGTTCGGAAGTAAGTGCGTCACTTGTTGGTAACTGCACTTGGCGAAGATGCAGAGTTGTTCAAGCTTCGAATGAACAGCATGCACTTCGTTCAGACGGTCTTTGGCAGCTTGTACCGAGGAGGCGTGGTGGTGGTGGTGGGCGTGGCCTGTGGTTGATTGACATGGTTTAATGTCATAATTTAGCAATTTACGTAACAAAAAACGTTGACAGGTTTTAATGTCATATGACGTTCAACCATATGTTGGAACGTAAGATTACGTCAGATGTTGTGCACTAAGTATGGCCTGCACAGAAATAATTTCGCATATACAATACCATACATTTGATTTTGTATCACAAGACATACCATAGGAAAACACGAGCCTGTCTCATAGCCTTTTTAGGACGTAGTTAGGCAATGGTCTCTGTGTCGAGGAAGGCAGAAGCCATCCCTCTTCTTCCACTGCCTTTTACCTCCCCAGCCGAAGTCATGTACCAATTTTACACCTGGGTGGAGTGAGGAAAGTCGTAGTGTCTTTCCCATGGACATAACGTCTAGCCAAAAGTGCCGGGGATAGAACCCATGACCTCTCGATCTCCTGTACGTCCGCTATCCCAGCCAATCGGCTATAAGTGTTCTTGCATCACTTCGTAAAATGGGTGACCACAAAATGCTTCTTTCTGTCCGTTTCGCACTTTCTGTACATCATGCCAAAAATCATCTATCTGACCAACCTTTCTGTAACTGGCTTAGCTATCTTCCTCCTTTTGTATCACAGTCCAAGATGTGTTATAAGGATCGGCCTTACCCTTTTCTGGACACGGTCTGTCCTCGCAGCGCAGTGTGTCGATGGCCAGGCCGTCACACGGATAGCCGCCGTTCTGGGGGAGCGGGTTGGAACACGTCCTCCTGCGGTGTTGGAGGCCCGGGCCGCAGGTCAGACTGCAGATGTCCCATTCGCTCCACTGCGTCCAGCCACCGTCAACTGTGAGGAGATGACGTTAAGCGTTGAAATGTGTGTTTGTGTGTGTGTGTGTGCCTCTGTGTGTGTGTGTGTGTGTATGTGTGTGTGTGTGTGTATGTGCCTGTGTGTGTGTGTGTGTGTGTGTGTGTGTGTGTGTAATTCAGTGGTAAAAGACACTGTCTCTGGACAAAGAAGTTGCGAGTTCGCGAATCACAGCTGTTGTCGCTACTAGAAAGGGACGTTTCACATACACTCAACACTACAGAAATTGACTGGATTGGTACATGTGTTCAAACATTATATCAGTAACGTTAGAACACTTCCAGTGTCTGTGGGTCAGACATTCGACCAGACAAACGTACAGTTCAGATACTTCACAGAACCTTCACCAGAAATCCCTAATTACAACATTATCCTTTTACCTGGGCAATCCGAAGGTTGCTTCTTCACTGTACAGCGATATGTTGCCCAGAAGCGGTCCTGGAAAAGAAATTTAAAGCAGAGCCGTATGGAATATATATTATATTAATGAAACATTACATTACATAACGCTACGCAGGTCGCTTACGTGTCGTTCCTGACCTGTTGTTACAATATAATAAGGCGGACATGGCGAACAACACTTACACCAAGGCTATGTGAGTAAAACATCCGATAGACTGTGAAAAAAAACACAATGAACGTAGCGGTCTAATTGTCGGACTTACATGATTTGCCCTCTTGATGGCGTCTGACATCCACATGTCGCTGTTGTGTTTTGACAGCTCATGGTCTTCACAGAAATGTTTGATGCAGTCTGAGAAAAACTTCTGCCTGGCTTCGTCCTTGAGATACAGAAGCATCCGAGCCATTTCCTTGTTAGACTCGATGTCAATGACACTTCTAGTGTCCCTGGGAAGATCTGGTAAAAGAAATAGGATGCGTGGCGTTATAATTGTTTTGT